GGCTCGTTGGTCAGTCATTCGAGCAACAGTCAGTGAGCTCCAGTTTCAGTGAGAGGCTCTGTCTCAAAGACTAAGGCAGTGAGCATTCTGTGGAAGAACGAACTGAAGTAGCTTACCTTCAGTTGTAGGTGAGTGAGTTTACTATTAGAATCCTGAAACTCACCTGGGCTCCCAAATGAGAGTCCTGGGGAGCATCGCCCTTGGTGAATCCTCAGGATTCCTGATCCCACCCAGGCATTTTTATACCAGGGGTCAGTAGTGACCTCTCTGGAAATGGTTTGCCTTCCAGCTGTTCTCAGGGCACAGAGTTTTGAATATCCTTTGGCTGTTTGCTGTTCTCCTTGTCACAGGGCCAGGGGTCAGCCTGCCCTAGGACAAAGTGCCTTGGAGGACGCGAGATGAACATGCTTGAGTTGAGGCCAGGGAACCCACCCTGTTCCGAGTCATCTCTGAACAGAGCAAAGAGCACATGACAATTTATTAATGTAATTGATGCTACGGAGAGTGATAGAGGAAGACACCCAGTATCGACTTCTGGTCTCCACATGGACATGTGCACAGACACACCAACACATGCAAGTGTAGTACACACCTCACACACACACACTCACACACACACACACACACACACACACACACAGGAGGGAGAGTGGGAGGGAGGGAGGGAAGGAGGGAGGGAGGGATGCTTTGTACCATAGATGGTTTCAGCAGTGACTTTGAGCATTGGATGCTTGTCACCTGAGGCCTGTTTGTCACCTGAATGACCTAACTACTAGTCAGTGAGAGCTAACATGGCGAACAAAGCGCACCCCCAAGTATTCAGCAAACAGCACCTTTATGAAGAAAATAGCCCATGTGATATGCAGCTATTTTTTAACATTTCTGAATTGTGATTGGTAGTTCAGGAGATCGAGAGGACTAACCATATATTATTTTACAACTTTACCTTCCTTATTTTATTTTTGAATTAATTATTTTCAACCCATTTCTTGGGATTGTTTATGTTATACTTTTTGTGAGTCATGTTGTCTCTAACTTACTAATTCCTCATTTTAGTCTCAAGATCCTTGCGCGGTTGATGACAGCTAAATTTTTGCACACGGAAATTCGAGAAAAAGGAGGTGCTTATGGTGGAGGAGCTAAACTCGGCCACAATGGGATTTTTACCCTTTACTCTTACAGGTGGGTTTCTGTCTTTTGTTGCCCATGTGTGAGCATGCAGGTCTTTACCGCCCTGGCTCTGTCCCTTCTCAGTGTCTTTATGTGAACATTGTGAAAGAAAGGTAGCTTCATAATTCATATGCTTTGGTCGAATGCAGTCGAGGAGGTTTCTGAGCTAGATTCAACCGTGTGAAACTTAGTAGGAATACAGTTCTGCTCAGTTTTCAGAGGTGCAAGAGTGTTTGCGTTTTCTTTACAGTCTACCACCTGTAGTTTTGTATACACTAACATGTTAGGAGGGGCCTTGGTACTGACCCAGTTCTCCTTATCCCTACTGCCTCAACTTGCCTTACCCACTGACTACCTGGGGACTGCACTTTAAACAAGGGTCCTGGAAGCAAATCTTTAGTACCTTGGAGGTGTGTGTGCCTAAAGGCCTAGTATCTATTTTGGCTTAGACACAAGAAAACACCTCAGAAATTCCCCTACCTCTAAGTAACTTCCACATTATTCTGTCTGACGGAAGTGGAAGGGTCTGTCTGACGGAAGTGGAGGCTAGTTTAATCTTTCTCCTCCCCACAGCTCTTCTGTAATATTTTGGTAATGCTGTTCCCCTCCATCCCTGTGACTCCTTTCTTGAGGAGGTCAGCCTGACAGTGGGGTCAGTAAGTGAACCATGGTACTAAATATAGGTCGAGTGTGCCGTGGGTTTCCTTGGTCAGATTTAAGTTTCTTCAGAGAAATATTGGTCTCTGTGGGCTGTTGAGAGTGTGAAGGGTCAGAGAAAATATCAAAGGATTGTTAACACGCTTGGCATGGACTTTTCCTTTGATAAAATGTTTCAATACTGACCTTTTTTGGGCTTCCCAGGGATCCAAACTTCATAGAAACACTCCAGTCTTTCGGGAAAGCTGTAGACTGGGCTAAATCTGGCAAGTTCACCCAGCAAGACATTGATGAAGCCAAACTTTCTGTGTTCTCTTCTGTGGATTCGCCTGTTGCTCCATCAGACAAAGGTATTTTGAGTCTGGGAACCTTGGTACACGGTTTCCACTGGGCAGATTTCCACAGTTTTCTGAGTCATTGTTTCTTGCTTACTTGAAGAGTACCAGAAAATCTGTCATTTCAGTTTCCTCCATTTCTCTGTCCTGTATGATATGATTTTCACATTTGACAGCCTTCATATTGACCTTAAAAGGGAGTGTGCTGGATAGCTCTAGTGTCAACTTGACACATCTGGGTTGAGGGACCCTCAATTGGGGAATTGTCTCCATTGGACTGGCCGATGGCCATGTCTGTGAGGCATCTTCTTGATTGTTGAGTGATGTGGGAGGGACCAGCCCACTCTGGGTGGTGCCACCCCTGGACAGGTGGGCATATGTTACATAAGAAAGCAGGCTGAGCCAGGGAAGTAAGCCAGTAAGCAGAGTTCCTCCATGGCCTGTGCTCCAGCTCCTGCCTCCAGGCTTCTGCCCTGATGGGCTCCCTGTGAACTGTGTCCTGGGAGATGTAAGATAAAATAAACCCTTTCCTCCCCAAGTTGGTATTGGTCAGAGTATTTTGTCCCAGCAATGGAGAGGCAAAGTAGGACAAGGTGCTTCTCACAGACTGGAAAAGGAGCTCAGTCAGTAAAGTACTTGCTAAGCAAGGATGAGGACGTGAGCTCAGTCCTCAGAACCCGTGTGAAAAACCAAGCATGGTGGTCCACACTTTCCATGATTTGGGGACAAGGCTAGTCAGCCAGCTACCCTACTTACTGTTCTCCAAACCAATTAGAGACCCTGTCTCATTAAGCAAAGTGGATGTGGCTGGGAAGATGGCTCAGCAGTTACAACTGTTACTGTGCTTGTAGAGAACCTGAGTTTGGTTCCCAGCACCAACACTGGGCAGCTCACATCCACCTGTGACTCCAGCTCCACCTGACACCCTCTTCTGACTGTAGGCAACTGCACTCACCACCACCCCCAGACACACAAGTATACATATAATTAGGAAAATAGTAAGTATATCTTTAAAAACAAAAAGTAGATGAGGCTTAGAGAATGACACCTGGGGTTTTCCTCCAGCCTCCATGCACACACACATGTACACACATACACATGCACATACATGCTTCTTGACACCTAGCCTGGGACCTCCTGCTGTTTGTCATCTCAGACAACTCAAGAGCTTGAATAACCCAAAACCCAGCGAGGC